TGTTTATTTCAAGACTTGTCGAATGGGATTGTTGTGCTTCTGGGTTCTTTGGTTATCTTTCTTATGAATGAAAGCAGCTGTTTATTTCAAGACTTGTCAAATAGGATTGTTGTGCTTCTGGGTGCTTCGGTTATCTTTCTTATGAATGAAAGCAGCTGTTTATTTCAAGACTTGTCGAATGGGATTGTTGTGCTTCTGGGTTCTTTGGTTATCTTTCTTATGAATGAAAGCAGCTGTTTATTTCAAGACTTGTCGAATGAGATTGTTGTGCTTCTGGGTTCTTTGGTTATCTTTCTTATGAATGAAAGCAGCTGTTTATTTCAAGGTGTGGGCAGAAGCTTAACTCTTGGTTAGTGAGCTTTCGTCAACTTCATATCCTTAATTATTACCTTGTTAATGGCACCATGAGATATGCTAGCTTCATTATAATGGATTATTTTGACTCTGAGGGTTCTGTTTCGTAAGCATAGCTTTCATTTTATGGATGATGGCATTGCTTCGGATTGGTTTAAGGGTTTTGGATGCCGTTGCTATCTGAAACACTCTGCTGTACATGTTTTTTTCCCACTTTCATGGAGAATATTGAAAGTTGCCTTCTTCAAAATGTTGTTTCATTTAACTCTATATCGTATAACCTCAATCTATGAAGATCTCTTTTTTTCGGAAGGCTTTTTATTGGCCAGCAGCCAAATAGTCAACCCACGGCGACATTGTACCGTTAAATGGTCGAGAACTCTTCATGAATCAAATACATAGGTGCTAACCATGGCGCTCTCTACGCCACGGCTTACATCCTCGGCGCCACGCCACTTCAATAGGGTATACAGTCGTTCTTATAAACGTGCAATTAACATTCTATATCCTAGTACACAGTTATCTGAGGTAAAATTCTATTCATGAGAAACTGAATTGCTTTAAACTGACTTAACTAATTTTCTGCAACATTTGTTATATTTGTTTATTTGTTTGTAGTTAATCGCAAAGCTACAACGAGCTATCTGTGCTGTGTCTGTCACGGGTATCAAAACCCAATTTTTAGCGTTATAATCCTTCAAATTTACCGCCGAGTCACTGGCGGGGGGACACTATATTTTGAAAATGAAATTTATCGAGTAAACAAGTTAAAATAAAAATTCTAGTATAGAACAGAAAAAAGACAAATATTTTATTATAAGGTAACTTTTAAAGTAAGAAAAATAAAATTGTATAATAAATATTTGTAATTAAGTCATTGTTAAAATAATAAGTATGGATCAAATAATATTGGCCTTCCGCCCATTCAGTGGCTCGGCAGTAATTCTGAAAGCTTATAACGCTAAAACTCAGCTTTCGATATACACGGTAGGCAGAGCACAGATGGACCACTGTGTACTTTGTGCTTTACAATAAACCCGGATTCTATCGTTGTAAGTCCGCTGACATACCGCTGTGCCACTGGGGGGCTATTTTATGGTTAAGTCAGTTTTAAATTCCGAACTATAATATAGTTCACGTGAGCGTTAAAATAAAAATTACATTAAAGATTTTATAACAGAGCCAAAGCTTATCTAAAAATTATAATATAGACAGCTTAAAATTAACACAAAATAACAGTTTTAGTATAGTTAGAAAAAACATTTTTATGCTTTGCAACTATTAAGGTCATAATCTAGAACTGTTAGCTGCATGAAATGCCAAATGCATCTTCATTTCTTTTTGATTCAACATCCCAAAGCAATGCTTTCATTACAAATTACAAGCTCATTATATGAAAGTTACTACAGAGATAAAAAGTAAATTAGTCTAAAATAAAGTTTTATGAGTCCTAAGCGGCAGTGCATCATTAAGTCTCCCATGGTTAACCAACATGCGATGATTAGTTCACGGGTTCTCTACAAGTAAGCGTCCCATAAATAATTATTTTTATTCTACATAATGTGAATAATAACTGAGCACGTATGAGCCTTAGAAAATATTATACTGTAGTAAAAGTGTCTATGTGGTGGTATTTACCAATATTTTTCTCCGTCTCTTGCGATTTGTTTTTGTTTCGAAAGAAGGTTATATTCAAATTCGTAAACGCTGACAATAGCAATCATATGTATATAGATTGTAGGTGTGGATGATATGATGATTCCAAGCTAATATTGATCTAACCGGACGTTATTCGCAGCACAAAAATTAAATGTTTGATTAAAAGAATGATCAGAGATTTGTACTCGTATCTCCTTCTTTTCAAAAATATATTTATCTATTCATCTGAATTAACTTTAATAAAATCCAATGTTTACATTAGGCAAAAGTAATCAATTCATCACTAGTGCAGAAAACTAGAGCCTGATGATGGTCTTTTCTTGAATATACAGTATCTAATAGTAGATATATAAGTATCGACAGAAAGAAAGAGGATGATCAACAAAACTATATATTTATATATCAAAAGAAAGGGAATGAAGGGTTATTTATATATATATATTGATAAGAATAGAATAGGTATGGTTATCTATATATATAGTATTAGAATTACGGAAACGGTGAGGGAAAAAGGTAAATACTACGGGATAGCCCTTATTTATTATATTAAATGAACTGCACCAGAGTACTGTCATTGTTGATAGTTTAAACGACAATTAGTTGTCACCCAACCAATCAGAAAATAACACACCAGAATAAAGCCTGTCAATCTATAGGCAGTCATATATATACTATGCCTAGTAGTAGCAGTGTATAGAATAATGGGTCACAGGACTGAAATACTATATGAAAAGAGTGTGAAAATCAAGGTTTAGCCGGTCAAAGGTACTTTGTGAAATAAGAAAATGGTTATTGCTTAACAAACAACTTGAATAAAACATACTAGTAAACATGGAAGTTGGAGGTGGCTACTGTTTAACATAAAAGTAGAAAGTGATCACTGGTTAATGAGTAACTAGATAGGATTACTAACTTACATGTATATAGAAGGAACTAATGGTTAATATTGGGAAATAAGCTGGTTATAGAAGAACAGCTATTGGTTAATATACAGCATGTAACATCCAATAAACGATGGTTATCTTATATACATTCAAAGACAAATTTTCAAATCGCTTGCTACCAAAATAGCAAAAAGAAGAAATTATTGTGATGAAAAAAGTGTTATAATAGTTTAGCAAACAGAAAAAAAATACTATCAAGAGAACGTATATTGACTACTTTATCATGCTGAATAAATTATCATAATGAACAAGTCTATTCATCTTGTTTATCAAGCAGAACAAATTATGATTATTAGAAAGTATTAATTTAGTTTTAGCACGCAGAAAAACTATCGTGATGGAAAAATTTTTTAATTTATTTTTAAGAACCACAAAAAGTTGTCCTGTTTAATAAATGTTTTAATCTAGTTTTAGGAACCACAAGAAGCTATAGTGATGAAATAATGTTTTAATCTAGTTTTAGGAACCACAAGAAGCTATAGTGATGAAATAATGTTTTAATCTAGTTTTAGGAACCACAAGAAGCTATAGTGATGAAATAATGTTTTAATCTAGTTTTAGGAACCACAAGAAGCTATAGTGATGAAATAATGTTTTAATCTAGTTTTAGAAAGTAGACCAAAAATGATCGTGATAAGAAGGTTTATTAATCTAATTTAGTGTTGAACACTACCGTAGCCTGCGATAACATCTTTAAAAATATTATTATTATTTTTTTTATTTACCTTAGAAATGTGTAAAAGAAGGGCTGGATTAACCATAATGCAGAGTTGATAGTTGGTTATCAGCTCACGATGCCAAGAGAGGCCCACAGTCGTTATGCTTCTTTTTTTAGACATGTTTTTTATATTGGAAACTGTAGTATTTTAAAAGTATTACATTTGTTGAAAAGGTTTTTTGACGGGTAAAAATTAAAACAAGTGTTTGTGAAGAAAGAACTGAAAAAGCCTATAAGCCAACTTTGGTCTGAAAGGTGAGTTTTATTCTTAACGTTGGATAGTTGCTAATTGTTCAAATGACTTTTACCTATCTTGATGTTAATAATAGTATGTTTGTTTTCATGTAGTATCTACATTGCTCTATTATTAATTTTACATATTTCAGGGAAAAGCGAAGTCATATCTATGACACACCTGCATTGGAACAAAGTTTCAGCAGCTCCACCTTCAGTTGTTGAGCTATATTACTGAGATCAGAGGGTAAATACTCGATTCTCTCCCATTCCTTGCAAACTCCAAACTTATTATCTGTTTGTCTTTCTTCTTCGCTGTCCTGGCATAAAATGAAATAAAAGCGCTGTTTTAATAATATGCAAATATGGACACCTTAATTCTATATCTTAATATAATATTTTAATTATTAATTAATATTATCGTTCTTGAGATTCTAGATTTTAACCCTTCTATTTTCCTACGTATTGGAAGCTAGTGTCACGTTCAAAATGTGCTAATATTTAATGTGAAACAAACGAACGAACAAACAATGTAAACGCTTTAGTTGATTTTGGTTCATAATACCATCTTACACACAACTCTTAAATTGATTTCAAATTTGATGACGTGAAACCCACTTTTAGACTAATAATGTTTGGAGTGAGCTTGAATGGACAACGAAGAAAACTTTATCAAAAGTTTAACAAGGTAACAACTGTATAATTCATAAATTAAATTAAGATGACTAACGTCTTCTAGATTACCCGACAGTCAACGTATATACACGTGCATGTTTTTAAACGTCTTTCTCTCTCTGCTATGAAATAAAACAATTTTCAATTAGTTCTTGCTGTTATGGTAATGTATATCTTCCAACATATTTCCTGGTCTTGGATTTTAATTCGATACCTTTCACCTGCCAGTCATGTGGTCTTCCAACTGGATTGACGGCTAACACTCTAACCTTTGCTAGTAAAGCACTTTTTAAAAAACCACATTATATATACTGTGCTACGGTTCTCTAGTTTACTAACTACTGCTTTAGCCTAATGACAGTTTTATCAAATATACTATCATCCTAATAGTTTTCATTAAGCTACCTCCTTGTAGTTTATAACCTTTTTACTGAAAGTGGATAGGTTCTAACCACTGATAATGTGTAATAGATAGACATCTAATTACTTGTTTCTTCAGCTTTTCACTAGATGACCATGAATGGTGTTTTTCAGGACGAGATCCACGCCTGCGTGCCATCAGTGTTCTTTTTACAGAAAAGCTTCCGTTTCCTTTCCACCTAGCATGGCGAAGTTCGGTGTGCAGCCGCATGGTGGCGACTTCATGACGTAGCACTTCCCACCGAAGTTGGCAAACCTGGCTATTTCTTGCTGCTAGCTGACATTCTATATTTCGAGCCTTAAATATAACGATCATAACAGTACGAATAAAGCATCTCATAAACGTTAGAAACAAAAACGTAAACGGTCTAAAAGGTAGTAAAAATGTAAATCATTTGTATGTATCACGCAAAAACAGAGAAATTATCGTATTAGGCTCTGATGAAGTTGTGATGTTTTTAATGTACTTTCTCAGTGTTAGGGAGCGTTACACAACAAACTCTCTGATGACCACAACATTTGAACAAACACTGGATGAAAGCCTGAAGAATATGGCTGAAAAACAACATTATTACAGCACGTACCTGAAAAGAGGACCAAGCGTATAACTCAGAACAAGCATATATCTAAGCGGTTCGTTTGTAACGAATAATTAGGAAGGATATTTCAGATCCTTGTTAAGCGCAAGGTTGCGCAATGGGCTCTCTGCACTGTGCCACTGCAAGAATCGAGATCAGATTTTTTAGTGTTATAAACACTAAAGCTTGCCCCCTGAGTCACCAGGCGATCGATATTTGAAACATAGCATTTCTGAGATAAGTTCAAGTTCTTTTTTTTTCATATATATATGTTAAAACTAGAAAAAAGTATTCATTTTCTCCTTTTGTAACCTACAGTGTGAAGTTACTGTAAGTTCATAAGAACGGCTTGGAGGCTCCCCAGTATCTTAAATGTGTCAAGATTAGTATAATGTTTAATGCATTATTGTATTAGTAACATAACTAAATTTAGATCTTTAGAACACTGAAGCCGGGAAGTGTCATTCAAATTTTACGTATGCTGACTTAGGCGACACAGTGTCTTTCAGATGACATCATGTCTTGCAACCGATCTTCCCTCTTGCTCTTTTTAACCCCATAGGTTCAATGTAAACCAAATGACAAAACGATACCAACACTGTTGTCAACCGACACTTCACTGTTCGCGAAGAAGGCACGAGTTTGCGCGACTTTAATTATGCGGACGTGTTAAAAATACAACTTGACGGGTTTTAATTTCTCAGGCCTTATTTAAATTATATTAAACACAGAATATAAAGCATGCAAAATTCACAAATCTCAATAATTCGTTCGTATTTAATTAGGTATTCAACTTTAATTTCAGTTTGATGTCTGTGATATTGTGGTCTGCAATACCTCACACAGTGGATATGTGTTTGCTTATAGCTATTTTAATCTTGTTTGTTTTTTGAATTTCGCTCAAAGCTACAAGAGGGCTATCTGCGCTAGCCGTCC